TTTTTTTTTTTTTTTTTTTTTTTTTTTTTTTATTTTTTTTTTTTTTTTTTTTTTTTTTTTTTTATAGAAATCACATAATTCAACATGTATACAAGTTTTATTTTAGTTAATTAACATCTCTAATATTACATTTGGTTGTCTTCTTTTTATACGTGCAACTTGATCGGTTAGAAACATATCTCTACGAATTCAATTTTGGAATTTGCGTATTAAGAAGTCAACTCGTTGAAAAAACAAGTAAATCCCGTGGTAGCAAGACTACTAAAAACAAAAAGATAGGACGATATTAACAGCTTTTTGGCAGGAAAATAAAATATTTAAATTGGTAATGAAATGTATAATTTGTTTGAATGTTGTTGAATGAAGGATAAAGGATGGTAGATGAGGAAAGATGGAGGGACTTGTTCTCATTTGCTTGGGTCTTTTCTTATAGCCACGTGCACTGTGTCTCTCTACCCAGACCCGTGACTCAAGATTGACTTCATTCTCACACACAAAATAGAATGACAAAAAAACATGGGGAGGTTTCATTCATATTAACTTCATTCTCACACACAAAATAGTTTTAATATATTAAACTTAATATGCTTGATAGTTGAAATTGTGAGGCTGCAGAATTGCGAACTGGTGCAGTGGAAGCAAAGTAATGCTTACTAGCAATGATAATTAGAGGTGGGCACAAATACTGCTTGATGGGTTATTTGACTAATTAACGTGCTGCAAAATGAAAAGATGATTGGTCGAAAGCTCTTTTCATCTGAGCACATACAAAGTGTTTTGATTCATTTTTTGATTTGTTGATATCTAATGCAGTTTTAAAAAGAACTTTTATTATAGTGAGCTGCCGCATCATGACTTGCACATAGTCAAATACGCATATGGTTCAGAATTTATCATTAGTTATTATTATTTTGTCTGGGCCTACTGCCCCATTTAATTCCATGAAGAAGACATAAGTAGATCAAAAATCAACTTTGAAACCACAAAGTAACAGTTACCGCGTGGAAGATGAAGAACAGCAAGTCTGTTCAAATCCACTGGATTGGTCAAGAATTGAGAGAGAAATTTATAAAGAATGAGCGATTTGCTTGTGAGAGATCGTCGGTCACAGTGTAGTATATAGAGTTAAAGGCATAATCCACTCATGGTCAGTGTACCTCATGATGAGTGACATTTGAGTTTAAGGTCGCACTGTCATGATTTTCTAAACACACGCCACCATAAAACTTGTATTTCAATCATTTTAATTTATCATTTTAAACAGTCAGCGAGGAGTTACTCAAAAGAGAAAGTGATCAAAACGCATAATCAAGTTAAGTTACTGATTTACGTATAAACACTTTTGCCTTGGGATCTAAGAAATTATCATATATATCACACATATAGTAATATATAGTATAGTTTTGGAACTGTCAACAGTAACTTCTACACAACCAAATCAAATAGTGAGATAGAAAAGGTGTATCTTTGCATGAGACATTAGGCTTTAAATTATTATGTTGAAGAATGAGAAGAAAAAACCAAACTTTTTCTTATATATAATTCAATTCTTTCAAACTGATTATGAGTTTATTATCCTCTGCACAAGCAGAGCAGAGGAGAATGCTTACTTTATTAGCATTATTATTACTTGGGAGAAACTTCCTTAAGGGCACACATCTGCTCCTCTCCCATTGCAGACATGACAGACACAACTATATCCTTTCCCTCTTCAAATCCAGACTTGAGCTGCACTCAAACAACCAAAGACCAAACACAATCAGAAACGAACCAATCAAAACATTACAATGAACAGTTAGATTTGAAGCATGCATGAAAAGTAAGTAACCTGTGTGAGGAGAGCTTCATCTGTTGGGAGCCTGAGATCATCCTTAGTGCTACCATTGTCAGTAAGAAGGCTGACCTGTAATTTTAACAACCCTCTAATTTAATCACGTGGGCAAAAAGGCAAAACAAAGCTAGACTAATGAAGAGTGAAATCATACAAAGCCATCTTCAGAAATATCAATCAATTGATAGTCAACACGGTTCACATGTGGAACCTACAAAAAAAAAAGATCAAGCTTGTAAGTCAAGTTACCGACTTTAATAAAATGTTTAGATCAATATCAGTAAGCAAATACGCACATCACAATTGTGGGAAGAAGGAACAATATCTTCAAGCTTCTTAGAAGTGAAGATATCAATGGCGACAAAGTGACACTTGGCGTGACCGTGCTTGCCTGTCTTTGATGTCGAAACCTCAACAACCTATAAATTAAAAACCAATAAAGATGTTTTAAAAAGTTTAAAGGCAAAGGAACAAGAACTATCTATCTTCCCGACATAAACTAGATAACAATGAAAAATTCTCTTGTGTCCTATAAACACCAAAATACTTTAACAAACCTTGCAGGGACGGCCCTTGATGACGATGTGACCACCCTTACGGATGTTACCAGCTTGCTGAGGATAGGTCTTTGAAGCTCCTGCGTCGCTTGACTCAAAGTGGTGCTCCTCGTCCGACATGTTTGCGAAGAAGAAGAGAGACGAGTCAGAGCCAAAGAAGAAAACGTTGTGGCAAAGTCAGCGAGTTGGTATTCATTTTTTTTATAGAACACGAAAGCCTCTGAGAGAGAGAGAGAGACGTGTTGCATACTCTTAACTATTTCTTTCCAGCCGTTTGATTGGAATATACCTTTCTAAAATCAACCGTGGGGATTTATCGAGACATATCGCGTGCAAATGACGCGGGGCCCTACACGTGCGTCGTCTATTTGCTGAATAATTTTTTATATTTAATTTAATCAAAAGGCAGGTCGTAGATGTTACGCTGACGCTTTATGTAATTAAGATGCCATTGATTAACTTATGTGTAGCACATTGATTTCCATTCTGGTTAATCAACACAACTATGTGTTTAAAGCAAGAACTCATTGTAACATGATGATAACTGTGGAACTGAAACATTCTCTAATCTTGGGGAAGATTGCTTCACATCATCACATGCTTAACGTGCCACAAGAGCGACACACACACGTAGTCAAACAAAAATAGCTAGAAAAAAAGGGAGTGATTCATGCTTTGATTAACCTGAGATTCAAGAAGCTACCGATCCTTCAAAATTTGTGTATCAGAACACTTCCGGAGTTCTTCCCTGCAAAAAGACAAGGAGACATATCGATATAATACAAGTGCTTCTTCTTGATGTACTGTGTGATAATTAAACAAAAAGATAAAAGAGCAGAGCAGAGAGAAGAATGAGACTCACTTCTCTTTAGCTGATTCGTAAGTGTGGCCTTGATGCAACAGCTAAGAGTTCTCCAGTGTGGTTATACGCCAAAGACGCTGAGTACCTTGACAACTTTTATAATGCAAAAAACAAAAGATTCTATAAGAAAAGAGCCAAGAATAGTAATGTGGAGAAGAAGGTACCTCAAAGAGTCTTCTTCTGCTTCACTGTCATCAGTCACAAAATTCCCTGACCCACTGTGGCAAGAACAATGAGTGAACCATGTAAAATCCATTAGTTGGTTAATGAGGAAAACCTACACTGGATTGAATTCAAATGGCATTTATGCATATGCACCATTGAGATGGCATCATAAAGTATTAAAGTGTATCTAGCCAGCGTGGGATAAAAGAAGAAACATTTGGAAGTCACGAAATGAATCATATTGTATATTATAACTTTCATGTAAAGGTTAGTCATTACTTACTTCATCTCACTAGAGAATGATGTACTGGGGAAATCCAAGGCTACTTGTCCGTCTACTGAGCCAACTGCATATCCTGCTGAATAGCAACTTTAAACATCAAAACCTCAAACCAAACATGAACTCTGTTCTATGTATTTATTACGACACTAGCAGTAAATCACAGATTCTTTGTAAGTTAACCTGTGGAAAAAGGTATAGAGGGGACGCATCTGATTGGGTACCTCCACTTGTGATTCATGAGACTGAGAAGGTCGACCTAAGAAGTTACGCAAATCATATATATGCATTGATGCTTCAACACAAACTACTAAGTTGTTTCCAGACATAGTAACGCATCTCACTGCTGCACCAGCATCAGTTGAAAGCACAAGACTTCCAGTATCCTCCTAGAGTTTCTATTATCATTGCGTATCTGATGAAGAATGCTTTGGATTCATTGAAGCAAAGCTCCAGTGATGACAATCCCAACCCTGGTTTCTTTGTTTGAGAGAAGAACAACTTAAAAACCGACCGTTCCAGCTATATTTACAAGCACTTCCGTCTAAAAAGCCTTAGGTTGTTTAAATGGGCAAAGAGAAGATATTTGATAGTATTGAAGCTGAGGGCTGATCCAGGAACATCGAATTGGAGTACTAATAGTTCCACTGTAAGAGATGCAGTAGAGTTGTGTTGTTTTATGAGCAAGTCATAGAGCATCATAATTTCGATGGCATGTTTAAAAACATGGTGGGAGAGGTTCACAACTGCATATCTTGTAATTCTATATTCGTTCAGCCTCTCAGTTATTAACTTATTATCTTCTTGCTATTAATCCGACCAACACAAACTAACATAGTTAAAACTTTGAAGTAAGAAGTTGCATATGTGTATATACAATAGGAGTGTCAAAGAAACTTTCTTTGTTCCCTCACAGACTAAAACTTAAAGAACATCAACACGAAAAACAGACACAAACAATACACAGTTCAAGAACATAACTCTCTAACATCTTACTCTGGAACATAAAAATCGAACCTGACATCCACAGAACCATCAAGCGTATCTTTGTAATTAGAAATAGATCCAACCTCGTCCACCTCCTGGTACTCTGCTTTCACCCTCCTAACAGGCACAGTGACCGAATAAATAGTCCCAAGATCACCATCCGTAGCAACATTAAGCTGAACTTTCTCCTCCGACTCAATCTCCACAAAATCCGACAAAGCATGAACAACGTTATTAACAATCTTCCTCTTAGCTTCATCGCTAACCGCACACCTGTCGGAGAACAAAATCATCTTGAGCCGCTGCTTAGCGATCCTCGCGTTGGAGCTTCTCTTCGACGCGTGGGAAGGGAATATGATCTTCCACGCTAGGTTTAAACGGTCGAAGAAACTCATGTTGATTGCGTTCATGAGAAAGCTCTCTACCTCCAGCTCACCTGGGCTTGGTGATAGTTCGTAGTCTCCTCCGCTGTTTCTTGCTGATACCTTCGTTTTGCCACGTGTACTGTCTCCTTGAATGATAGAGACTCTAGGGGATTTATAAGGTTCCAAGGTGTTTACGCCATTGCTCACAAAGCCAGAGAAATCAACCTGCAAAATACATACATCACGAGACATGTCAAGCAATTGCATTTATTAGAATATAGAGTAACGGTTTATACTAAACCATAGACTAATTAATGTCTCTTTTAATTATAGAGAGAAATTAACCGGTTTACATTTATTTAACCAACATTTATTATGGTTTAGTATAAACCGCTTCTCTAATCTAAACCATCAATAGATTAATGTACTGTATGTTATAGAGAGAGATAAACCGGTTTAGATTCATTTAACCAACATCTAATATGGTTTAGTATAAACCGCTTCTCTAATCTAAATTTCTAATTAGCACCCCTTGGATTACACGAATTCAGGTATCTTCCTAACAAACACAGACCCTGGAAGAGAAAGATGGACATTGATACTAATAGAATCGGGACACTGAGTTAGTAATTTCATCATACACAGATCCAAATATACTTTGAAGGGAAATATTCGAATCGTAGAGTCAGAGAGAGTGAAAGGAGAGAAGGGATTGGACCTTGGGAGAAGGTAACGGGAGGCATTTAGGATGGTGATGATAAGGAGATACTAAGCTCGCAGAGATCCTTAGATTCCCAGATATCGCCATTTTCGAATAAATTTCTTCGCAATGAGAAGCGAATCTTTTTTTTTTTCCGGTCGTCTCTTTCAGTTAGAGAAGAGTAGAAAAGGGATACGACTCATTCGAGTAAAAGGCTATTAAACAACATGGAAACGGTGTCGTTCTTTAGTGCAAACAAAAACGTTATTGTTTCCTTGCCACCTAAACGCCGTCGTTTGAGAGACAACATAAGAACGTCGCCGTTTAGACAACCAAACCAAACACAGTCGTTTCCTTCCACCAAACGCAGTCGTTCGCTGCAAATGAAACGCAGTCGTGGTTGAGAAGCCAAACGTGAGGTTTAGCTATAGGGAACTAGCGTCGCCGGCGAAAATCCGAGGCTTCTTCGGATACATCTTAATATCTATCATTCCAATCTCCACTAGTTATTCATTCAATAAAGTTCGATTCTTTGGAGGAGACGACCTGAACCCAAACGAGAAAGATTCATTCTTTTATTGAATTTCTGTGAATGGGTAGATGGAGAGCAGTCGCTGCTCTTCTCATTCGTAATCAATATTCTTCAAAGCCTTCTTCTTCTTTTTCCCCATGTCTTTGGAAACGCCCGGAGATTGGCTCCCAAGCTTCTCGCTTGCTTAATTTCCGATGCTTATCAGCGTTTCCTTCTCCCATTTCGATATACAACAACGACTCTGATTCAGGGTCGGGTGATGTTTATCAAAGCTACGACTTTGGAACTAAGGAAGAGGAAGACAAGGGGAAGATCCCTATCAAAGCCTATTTCCTCAGTACTAGGTATGTTTTTAATCTCTCCAGACACTATTAAGTGTTTCAAGTTTAGATGACTCTCAGTGATGAGCTGTGTTTTGTGTGTGTTCTTGTTTCTGTTATGCTTTTTTGGTTTTCTCAGAGTTATGGTTTTGGCAGTATTGATTTGAAGGGGATGCAAGCTGACAACTTATGCCATGTTGTTCCTCCTACCTCCCGCTCTACCAACTCTATCGCTCTCAGATTTTCTGATTCTTCTTCCGGAATCCCTGTAAGATTTTTACTCTTCTGTTTCCTCCTCAAAATCGATTACTACTGTATTCAGTAGATGCAATGTTATTTGAATATAGTTGAAACTATATAAAAACTACTGTTTTAAGTTTTAGCAATTAGTAATAAGGATGCAACTATCATGGCTATGATTTCTTTAATGTTGGTATAGAAACCCCAAAAGAAAGTCAGTGTTGATGTTTCGTTCTCTCTTCTTCACAGACGATGGATGAGAGGGAGAGTGTAAGCAGCTGCCGGTTCATGGTTGTCTTTCAATACGGTTCTGCTGTTCTTTTCAATGTTGATGACAATGACGTTGAGTCCTATCTCGACATTGTTCGTAGGCATGCTTCTGGCCTGCTTACAGAAATGAGAAAAGATGGTCAGTTTCCTATAGCCATTCCTTGGCTTCTTACTATCTGGAATATCACAAGCTTTAATCCTGTACTGAACAATCCTTTTCTGGATTTTTTTTTTGTTAGATTATGCTGTTAAGGAAAAGCCTTTGCTGACTGAGGAAATGAGAGGTGGCCCTGACTACATTGTTCTCAAGACTTTGGATACTAATAGCATCCGTATAATTGGGAGTGTGCTCGGACAAAGTATTGCGTTGGATTACTTTGTTTCTCAGGTAACTTATTCCTTCTCAATGTCCTTAACCAATACAAGTGTGTGTCTAGTTCGCAGAAAGAGTGAGAGATGAAAGTATAGAGAGAGTGTAAGAAACTGTTTAATGTTGAAAGTTCTGATATTTTTGATTCTCTCAGGTTGATAAGTTGGTGGAAGAGTTTGCTGGTATAAACCGGGCAATGGAGAAAACCGGAACTTTCACAATGCACAGGAAAAAGCTCTTCCAACTCGTAGGGAAGGCTAATTCTAATCTTGCTGATGTGATTCTCAGAGTTGGTTTGTTTGATAGGTATTCTATCAAATCATTTTTTATATTTCTATATTGTTTTCCTTGATTTCTTACTCGTTACAGAACTCCAAGTTCTTGAATAGTCCTATGAATTCAATGTGTGTGTGCCTTAATTAGACTCATATGTTCTGTTGTGTGTTTCATAGATCCGAGATTGCCTGGAGAGAGGCTAGATATGCGCTGATATATGAGTACCTAAGAGAGGAATACGAGGTTACTCAGAGATTTGGGAATCTAGACTTTAAGCTAAAGTTTGTAGAGGTATCATCATTATACTTGTCACTTTTGTTATCAATAAACAGTCGTCAATGATCATTTTTAGGGTTTTTAATGTGATCATCTGTTTTGAATGTCCAGCACAACATTCATTTCCTCCAAGAGGTGATGCAGAACCGACGATCAGATCTATTAGAATGGTGCATTATCTTCTTACTGACCATTGAAAACGTTTTATCTATTTACGAGATCGTCCGAGAATCCACAGGAGGTTCAGTCTAATGCTACAAACCTCTATGAACATCAGAAAGAATTTTTTTCTCAGATTAGTTCATTTGTTTTCCAATTCTCGGTTCTACATCTGTAATAAACTCAAAAACTTGACTAGCTAGCTTTCGCTGCTTATGTCAAACATTACAGTTTCATAAATTAAAGATCAAATACAAAATGTTATGATCCCTTCTTCTTGATATAACATCAATCAAGCCTCCTAAGCAAGTACTCAATTTGGACTTCCTTTGTGAGGGGCATGATTCTTTCTCCGTAGAGTTTAGCAACTAAGCTAGGCTTGATTTTGTATGAAGGATCAGCTCCAGTCTCTGGATCGTTGATTGTTATGTCTTGACCGAAAATTCTGGCTTTGATCTCAACTCTTTTCTTGATTACTTCTTCAACTGATTCATAAGTCAGAAGTCGCAAAAGTTGTGTCCGGTCCTGCAAAGATTCAGCCAGTTCATGACAAAAGAACATACAGACAGTGAATAAAAAGAGTGTATTTACTTGTTCTCGGATGGCAGTTTCATAAGTAGCTGGATTCTCACGAAACTTGGCCTCAGCAACGAATTTACCGAAGTGAATTCTCTTTGAAAGTATCTGCAAAGAGAAACCAAATGAAAGTTTCATATCAAATACTGAAATCCTTTGTAAGTTGAAACATGACTAAGTTTCTTGCCTGCAAACACATTGTGTCACAGACAGCAGCTGAACCACAATTACCATCGTCCCCTGGATTGACCAGTCTGGGAAGAAGGTGTCTGAAATACATGTTCCACACCTTCTTGTTGATGTTTATTGAATCAGCACAGTGATGCAGAACCTGGTTTTACAGAAAGGAAAAGATTTGTTTTAACTTTTTACAGTTTCATCATCATCCTTCTATGCAGTGTGTCTAGTACATTCATTCACCTGTGGGTATTGAATAGGGGGAAGGATTGGCTCCGGCAAGGATTGTGGGAAAAAAGGATGTTCATCTGGACTCTTGTACCTGTCCACCTAATCACAAGCCAATAAAAATCAGAAACAAAGAGAAGTTTTTAACTAACTTTGTAGCTTTGGTTGAATTTTTGGACCTTAGCGTGGAGCTGTTCAGTCTCTCTGACCATAAACTCGACCAAAGATCCTTGAAACCCTTCCATAGCAAAAGCATCTTCGTCATAAGTATCAGGGTTGTAGCGATACTGAGCTCGCTCAAGAAGATTAAAGATGATGCTGTCCTCTTGACGAATCAAAGTGTGTCTTATGCTGTCAAGTGTCAAGCTCTCACTCTCGTCCACCCTTAGACTCCTCGAGTATCTAAATCAAATAGTCACACATCAAATGCCAGAAAATTAAATCAACTTCAACAAGGCATCAAGGGAATATAATAACAATTAACTACAAAAGATTCATAAGAAAACGACAGAGAATAATTTGCAAAATCAAGTACCTAGGCTTCTTGGATCTATAGTAAAATGTGCCAATTTTCTAAAGATTGAAAAGAATGTTCATAATAATTAAATTTAAATCATGTCTTATAACACATGAATCTTCCAACACGTTACAAGTACACAACTTTGTTTTTACCGTACAGCTCAGTTCAGGACCATGCCTGTGACCACTGACAACACAAAACGAACAGAGCAGAGGTATAGCAGTGAAAAAAAGGCAGTGCCTTTAAAAAGACATATACTTTAACTCAATGGTGTAAAAAGACATACAAATACAAGTGTAAAGAAACCGAACATATGGCGTGCATAAAGACTACTTCTCGTTTTGATTTGATAATGAATACATTACCGGATCGGCGAAACTGCAGAGTGTCGGAACGAGAGCGATCCAGCAAGTCCAAATCTCGATTTACCGGAAAAATACGAAACGGGTCTTCTAGAAGAATCGGCGAGATTGTAAAAAGTGGGTTTGAGTAACATAGCCTCCATGGAAGAGATGTTGAAGAAGAGAAGCGAAGGAGAAGGAGAAGGAAAAGGACAGAGGAGAGATTCGGCGAGTTGGTAAAAGAGAGACGAAAATGAATATATTTCTCAAAATCAGTTACAAATGTTTATCCGGACAAGGATGGATAGGGAATCACGTGTTTTATGTTTCTTCTGTTTTATTTATTTTTGTTTCTTTCTTTCTCGTAAAATGTTTCTACCATTTTTGTTACCTTTTTTTTTTGAACAACAAAAGGTTTTATATAGAAAGAAAAAAAAGAGTTGTGTAATATGAGAAAAAATAATTATGTAAAAAGAAATCACGTTAATACTTTTAACTATGCAGAATTTTTTTTTCTGAAGTGGTTGAGACCACAAGATGAGGATTCTGATTGGTAATATTGCATGATTGCAGAATAATGAAAAAAATATATACGAAACTACATAATAATCTAACATTTATTAAGAGAGAATTAGGGAAACGCCCATAATAGAGGCTTTAATTAGTAGTTTGCCCATGATGGGATATTTGGGGATGAAAACATACATTTTGTTTGGTTTTGGACGAAAAATGTCCTTGGTAACTGACACACTTTTCTGCTGAAAATCAGAGAAGTGACAGGTCCTATTATATATACCTACATCACTTGTGTCCACATGTTTGCTAAATTTTTTTAAAGGCTAGCAATATTATTGAATAATAATATTTTTGTAAATATAATATCAAAATATTTTAATAGATAAAATAATCTAACATTTGATATTGTTGAAAACATAAATTACAATTTATTACAAAATCTCAACATCTCTAAAATCTACAAAATTTTTTCAATCATATCAAATGTTATCTATAACAAATAATGTAAATGTTAATAGATGTGTTAGCTGTTAACAAATACATGTACCAGAGGTGTTAGTTGTTAATAAATTTGTTGACAGTTATTGTCTCTATTAACACATCTATGTATTTGTTAACAGCTAAGACATCTGTTAACGTCTACAAAAATTGTTAACGGTTAATGTCTCTGTTAATACACATGTACGTGTATTTGTTAACAGTTAACATCACATTATTTTCTATATATAATATTTATAACACATCTCATAATATTATATATGGAAAATAATAATTTGAAAAAAAATATTATTATTTCAAAAAGTAAAGAAAAAACAAAAAAAAATTAAAGAGAAAATGATCAAATAATAAAAGAGATAAGGAGAAAGAAGAGAAATTAAAGGAAAGAGAGTGTGAGAGAGTGTGTCGGGAGAAAGAGTGTGTGTGTCAAGAGAGGGAGTGCGTCAGAAGAGAGAGAGAGAGAGTAACATGTAAAAGGAAGGGTAATTTGGTCATTATTTTTATTTATGTCAAATAATGTGTATTTGGCTAATTACATATGCTCATATGGTGTTTCAGCAAATATTCTCATTTATTAAAGAAATATATCACAAAAACTATTTTACTAAATATTATGTTTTTACTTGATTTAACATAAAAATAAAGTATTCATAATTAAATTTATTCATTATTAAAGAAAAAAAAATTGGATTTTATTAGAAAAACATAATTTTACTGTAACTATTTAACTTGTTTTAATATATTAATAATATTATATTTAACATACTATGATGTTGCAAAATCAAGTTATTTTGTAAACTTATATAACTATATGTAGGTAAGCATTACCAGTATTTAAAATATAATTAATATAAAGATTGTTATACAAATACTTAATTTAGTGTTTATTTTTTATTTAATAAAAGTTTCTTTATATTTTATGTCATCAGATTTCTTTGTATTTTTTGTAAGCAAAATCACATGTTTAAATTTTACATTTTCTTTTCTGTTTTTACAAATTTTTAAGTTGATAATTTTTAAGAATTACTTTTTAAAATGAGATTTAACTTTTTCACCTGCCATAACATTTTAAGGTTACTAAGGTTTTGATTTTTTCTAAAATTCAGTTTTAATTATATATGATCGATAATTCGATATAGATTGGCATCTTTTGATAATTTTGTAATAAATACAACAGAAATATAAATTGTAATATGTTAATATTTCTTATTATGTATTTTTTATTAAGAGGCCAAACCTCCACAAAGTTTACTTTGTACTTTCTATTAACCAAAAGTATTTGGCTCGAAGATTAATCATTTATAAAGATAGCACGAACAAATGGTTATCATATAGAGTCTTGATTCATAAGAGTTTTGGGATAACACTGAGATACATATTTGGGCACAATTAACATAGAAATATATCATGTGTGATAATAAAATGTGCAATGTGATGATTACAGAGACCTATGATCATATATACTGTATCAGCTCTGCCAAAAACTCAAAGATTCCGTTCTCGACTCCCATGACCTAATTCTGTACTTTGTGGTTTACAAGAAGAAGCAATTTTAAATTTTATCTCTTTACCTTACTTTCTCTCTACTTCTAGATCTACCCTATCTTTTTAAAATCATAATTAAATAGTTCTTTTGGTTAGGGAATAATTTTAAAACTTAAAAAAGTTTGTACTTGTGATTATTTTACACAAGCCGGAAATATAAAATTCATACGGGTTCTAACGTGTTAAATTAATAATGCATAAACACGTTACCGTTAATCAGAGTGTGTATATCAACAGAAGAAATAATTATTTATTTACGTGTTTTAAATCTTTGTTTGCCACCACCGGTGTAGATAAAAATAATTATTAACATTCCAAGTTGACTTAACATCGGTCGATAAAATAACGAGAAGAAAAAAAAGATGACAACTAGATTGAATAATATGTTCATGTCCAATCAGTGAAATGACACGTAGCTAATTCGAAGAAACATGCTTTCCTCGGAAGAATGGCATTCTATGTAATTATCTCCAGAGCAAAGCCTTTTTTAAATGATAATTTGTTTAAGTAGAAGATCAGCCAATCAGGGACGTACAGAAGAAACAAAACTACAAAAGTATCCAAAACCAATCCCAAAACTGTAATTATCTTCAAAGTTAGGGCCAATTAAATTCTGACCCCACATTCAAACTGAAAACCTCAAAGTTGCTACGAAAGTGGGACCCTCATGCTTTTTTCAATCTAACCTACTTGATAAACAAATGATGCTTCATTCAGAAATTAAGTTGTGTTATCATCAAACTTGTAAATTAGGGAAAACTATTTGGTCTAATCAAGTGTCTTAGCTTTTAACATGTCCTTGACATTCAATTTTGTATCGATAACATGTTAGTTTTGTTACAACAATTATTTTAATTATATTTTATTAAGGTTGGGACTATGATATTTTATTAGTTTCTAGATTTAATTATTTCAGAATATATTTCTATAAAATAGGAAATCATTAATTTTACTGTATAGAAATTAACTAAATTTTTTAAAAATCGATTTTCATATTTATTATAGTGTTTGGTGTATATCAAATATGTTCAATAAATATCTTTGTTGATATAAAACAAAGACAATGTTTGGTTTGTAACTATATAAAAATATATATTTATAAATTATTAATTTATTGTTTTAATGAGATTATATATTTCACATACATTTTTTAAAAACAAATGTGTCATATTTAACATTTAAAACTAACACAACTTAAAATCATATTGTAGCGTTATTCGGATCAAAATAAGCTTCCCATATCTTCAAAAATCATTTTCATAAAATTATGAATGGACATGGAACAGTTTGAATACACTTTTTCATATGCAAGACGTTCTGTTTGGATTGATTATAGAAAAATGGATATTTTTTTATAAAACTAGGAGGGATCAAAGGAGGGTGTTAATTGTCAATTGCTCTTGATTCTTTTGTAAATATAGCGACATAATTAAAGGCATAAATATCATCACTTATATCTAGACTTCATCTGATTTTAGTTTCAGAACTTCACATTTAATTGGGTAAAGAAAACACCCCTGTTGCAACTCAACCACATCAATTTAATAAGCATTGTTTGTTATTTTAAACTATTTAACAAAGTTCATTGGAAAAATGGAGATAGGATTGATCAAATATTTAAAAATATGAATTAATAGTTAGAAAATACTACTTCTGTTCTAAAATATAAAACGTTTAAAGGATTTTTATGTTTCTATAATTTATGTAAACTTAAACTTTATTAACATCTGTCTAATCAATTATATTTTATATAGTTTTTAATTTATAATTTAATTGATATTTTGAATAAAAATGCAAAATTTTAGTGCATCTGTTTACTTCAAACATCTTATATTTCAGAATGAGTATTTTACAGTGTTGGCCTTGGGCACTCTATAGATGAAAATCATTTGTCAAGATCACGATACGGAGTGGCTACTTACTTTCCGGCAATATCAATTCCGCTATCGTAAAAATGGAAATGCACACAATTATATGAACCTTATTACTTGTAATAAATTAGGATCCTCGGTTTCATCTTGAATCACTTGCATGCTCAGATAACACAGCTCGTTGTAGTTAATTTCTATATAAGTTTTTTTGGTAATCATGTTAAGAAGATCTATAGATGTTATGAAGAAACATGTATTAAAAATTGCTTAGAAACGTGTTTTATGCAGTCAAAGCAAGTACAAGAGTAAAATATGATTTCCTCAATTAATGAAACAACGCGTCTTATGTTTATCAAACGAATGGAGACGTGAACCCTACTATAGACTATAGTAGAACAAATTAAAAGAGAGATTATACGAGATGAACTGTACCCTTTTTGGTAATTCAAGGAATAAAAATTGTTTTTCAAATTTTATAAAGGTTAAAATTATTAGTTGCGTATATAGTTTATGAAAAATATAATATTTTTCGACATGTAAATTCATTTAAGCGAGGCATAGCGATAGGCAATATCATGGTTGTCAAAAAAAAATATCATGGTTGTCAAAAAAAAATTTTTTAACGTAGGGTAAAAAGCAGGCAGTAAATGTTTGTCATTTTGTCTAAAGACTAATGAAAAAAGAATAAAACATAGTATTATTCTTCTACTACCTGTTTCCACTCTAAAATTAACGCCCCAAAATACATATATATATATCGAAGGAGAGAATCTAGGGGTAAAATTATACATTAGATCTCGAAATTTAGCTGTTTAATACATATTCTAATCACTTCCGATTACCAAGGCACGAAAAGACTGTATCAAATATCTCAAATTAAAAAGCAACTTCTGTCACCAAAAATGTATTCGTATTTTTTAAACCCATTTTCTTTCGAAATACAAAACTAATAGACTATATACGTAGTGTATGTATTTTTACTTAATCTGCTAGTCAGAAAAGCAGAATATATGAAACTGAAATATGAAGGAAAAAAGCTATTCTCCATCTATATCCATTTTGAAATTATTTTTTTATTAAAATTGATATGAAAATGAACATGAAATATAGTTTTCAAATTAAAATTTTTCATTATTTTAAAATATAATAAAAATACGTTAAAACTATTCACAAAATCTCCAATTATCTTAATTAGCTAATATATTTATTTAAACTTTTGATTTGACTCAAACTAGAGAGAGCTTTGGAAAAAAAAATTTAAATAAGTAAATTTCTAACTAATATCTAAATTTCTCATTGGTTTTACATATATTTTGTTATTTTCATATTAATGTCTATTTTAATAGTGAAATAAATACTTCTACAACAACATCAACATAAAACCACTAAACTATATTTCTTTCATTTCATGAAAAATGTCACTTTCATATATTTTACGTAGATTAAAAAATCAATAAAATATACTAATATATTCTTATTTATTATACAATTGTTTAAATGAAACTATTTAACTAAACATCAATTGGTTGTTTAAAAGAATAAGAAAAAAAAAATTAATATGCAAAATTATATTGAAAATATAGAATGATACTTATTTTGAAACAAAATTTAAAAACTAAAATGATATTTTTTTGACACATAAGAAATATATGAATTTAAATGGTGATTATGGAAATGAAAAATAATATTAAATTTCTTATTATTATTTCTATAAGATTACAATATTTACGACGAATAAATTTTGTTTTTAGGTCTTTTCCATTCCTCACTTTATAGAAAATTATAACAGAATTTGTTTGAAAAGAATAATTTTTTTTTCTTATTCTTATTACTTTATTCCAATTATCGTTTTCATATTTTATAGTGTTCCTAAGATGCTTATCAACTATGCCCACAGTTTAATCGTCACATATTTTGCTTCTCTATAAATGTATTAATACCAAGTCAACAACCTATATATCAAAATAAAAAGGGTGAATTAGGTGAATACCATGAAAGACAGAGATACCATAAAAGAGAGGGAAAAACGTGGTAAGTGAGGGAGGAGAGAGATAGAAATAAATAGGGTATAAAGCTAATTTTAGGGTTTTGTATGTATAGAGGATGCAAATACTCCAAAATAAATAGTCAATACAATCTATTTGTACATTGATTATAAAATGGAAACAAATTATACTTTATACATTAATAATTGACTATTTTAATACATAGATAGAATTCACAGATTACTTTTAATTTTCTAAATAATTGACTAGTTTGATACATTTATGATCAATTTTTTACATTTTAAGTAAAATAAAATGGAAAGAAATTATACTTTATACATTTCTAATTAAGAAAATTAATGGATTAAATTTAATTAAAAAATAATTGACCATTTTAAAACATAGATAGAATTCACAGATTATTTTTATTTTTCTAAATAATTGACTAGTTTGATACACTTATGATCATTTTTTTACATTTTAAGTAATAAATAATTTATCAAAATTCAAAATTAATTAGAAGAAATTGTTAAACATATTTTTTTACAATAATAATAAAACAAAAATTAAATAAAACCGTCCATCGTCAGGCAAAACAAATCAATTTATTTAATTTCTAATTCGGTTAGTCGAGACTATTTAATGTTTACTAATTTAAAGATTTATTTTTGGTAAATCATGACGATAATTTAACGATGAGTTAATTTCTAAAACAAACTAAAGAAATGTCTTTTTATAATAAAACGATAAACAACGACTTTCGGATAAAATTTAAGGTAAAATTAGTATGTTTTGATACAATTTTTTTAAATCTTATTATAGTTTTAATTTGAAATATGAGTAAATAGAAAACAGAATAAAAACCATTAAGTAAATGAAAAATAAAACTAAATTAACTAATGAAAGATTGGGAAGCATTAAAACTATAAATGATATGCAGGTGAAACTGAAAAAAAAACAAGAGAAAGAAAAGTCACTTTAAATAATTCAGCGTAAAAACAGGGAAAATGCAAAATGATGAGAGGCAAAAGAGAGAGAGAGAGAGAAAGGAGACCAGATGTTGACAAATAAAATCGCGTCTCTGTTGTTAGAAGTGTCCTTGGTTCGGTTTTATGTAATTTTAATTTTTTTAATTTTTATTTTACGGGATCTCTCTCACTTCACCGAACTTTATCTCTCTCTTCACTCTATAAGGAAAGAGAAGACACCAAATCCGAGAAAAATAAAAGAGAAAAAAGAATATAAAAGCTCTTATTCTTTTCTTTATATTTTTCCTCTCATTTGCTTTTAAGAATCAGAGAGAAAAGGAGAGAGACAGATAGAGAGATAGACACAGACTCTAGAGAGAGAGAGAGGTTATAGAGTTGGCCCATCGGATCAACGAAGACGATCTGAGAGTTTCTTCTCTTCTCCCATGGAGTTTCGTTTATTCCCCCTCACTTTTGTATTAACTGTTTCTTAGATTTTCTTTCTCCTTACTTTTGGTATTATTATCTCGAAAACAACATTTTTATTAAAATACTTTTTATATACATATTTTTAATTTGTAATAAATAATTGTCGACGATTTGGGAGAGAGTGTTTGAGAGATTTTCTCTGTTCAAAGGAGCGATTAGAGGGGATGTGGGTCTGAGGTAACAAAATCTCTCTATCTCCTATTTTTATTCTCTATATTTATTTAATTTTTATACACTTATGTTTAATTATTATTTTTTTATTCTAAGTTGATTTTCCATATATGTTAGTTGTCGTCTCTGATTATACTTTTAATAGATCTTTCTTTGTTGATAGATGAATTAAAAGGTTTAGGGCATTTGAGTGAATCGATCCAGCTTCTTATTGTCTCTCTTTACACTGTTCATCGTACGGTTTGATTCTCTGTCAGGTTTTTTTTTTCTTTTTCCTTCTTTTGGTTTTTGGGTTTTACGGATTAGTTTTGCTGAGTTTTCAATTTCTTAGTGGTTGATCGCTTCACCTCTAATGGCACATCTTCTTTATTTATTTATTTATTTTCTCACTATATTTTTCTTAGATATCGTGGACTCCCATTTGATCGGAAATTTTTATTTTTGCTATTTTTTTTCTATATTTCTAGAGATAAATTCACAGTTTTATGGAGGATATATTTGTTAAGATCAATCATTTGCATTGAATTGATAATTTAAAGTTGATTTCTAATATATTGTGTAATAAAAAGTCGTCGGTGACTTGGTTGTAATTTGGAGTTTTAGTACTTAGACTTGATTTGGTTGTCTCTGTTTTTTATTTTATTGAGGAATAGAGGAGGGAGACATGGTTCACTGTGAAAGCTTCTTGCCTTCAATGAAGGATCTCAACGAAGATTCAAACACTTGGAGCTCGTCAATGCATTGTGGAGATAAAAATGGGCAAAATCAGAATGGTTTCTCTATGAGAGCTCCTCCTCCTCCACTGGAATCTTACTCTGGTTACGAGAGAGAATTTCTGAAGCAAACCATGCTTCAACACGAAGCCGTTTTCAAGAATCAGGTATCTTATCTAGCAAACCTTTTGTCTCTTTCCATCTTTACTCAAAATGGTTTGGTTTTTGATGTGACATATGTTCTCGTGTGTTGTGTAGGTTCATGAACTTCACCGTTTGTATAGAACACAAAAGAGCTTGATGGATGAAGTTAAAGGGAACAACTCTGAACATACACCAGAGAGTGCCATTAAACGCGACCTGCCTGCATTTCTTTTGGGAAATTCGGTATGTGGTGAAGGAAGCAGCTCCCAAGCTTGCAAGGTTCCTATGGCAAATGGGGTTAGCTCAAAGGAGGAGGAGGTTAGACCTGTGAAGGTCAGGAGAAGAATGATTGATCTTCAACGCCCGCCGGATGAGTATCTTGATGATGCAGATGGTGAGAACTCGAGTTCTCCTCAAGAAGCTGGTGAATTGCCTGAAAGAGGCAATGCTTCTCATTTGATCGGTTCTTCTTTGGTTATGAAGAACCCAACTGGGTTAACTGACTTGAACGTGCCAGTCCAGTGCCAAGAATCATCAGTACATGGTCCTTCTTCCAGGGATATATATTCTCTTTATGGGAATAACATTGCAAATGCGCAACGCCAGTGGTTGGAAGCGAATACAAGTCAAAATGGATGGATGGTCCTAGAAGCAGGTGAGATTCAAACTTAATGTGTAGTAATCTTTGCATATCTTCTAGTCTCTGATGTTTTTTTCTATGGCTGTATTTTATAGGGAACGGAAAAGGCTTTCCAAGAGAGAACTTATGTATGCCTTCCCAGTCAGTACAAGTTCTTGCTAACCATGCATTTCAACCTCTGAGCTACCCTTCAACTGATCATAGGAAGTTTTTATCGGAAGCTCGTCAAAGGAATCCTGAAGTTTCCTATGAAAGCTATGTAGAGTCAAGTGTGGCATCAAATGCTCCAAGCTTGACTAATGGCTACCGCCCTGAATCTGGCAGGACCTGGAGCCATTGGATTCCATCACGTGAGAACCGAAGTAGCAGCTCATTTCAGAAATCTTTGCCATTTCAAACGAATCCATTCTTGAGTTTTAACACACAAGCAAGAGCAGATTCAAGTTCTGAGAAGAGAAGCCTTTACCAAGGAATTTCTTCAGGGTCGAAGGAAACTGCCTTTAATCTTCCATCAGGAAACCTTAACCATCTTAACAATGGCACAAAAGGGGATGTTAGAAGTGGTTCATTGAGTGAGGCTTTGAAGCATCAGAGATTTGAAAGTCTTCAAGGACCAAAAAATCAGGAATTGTCAGCTGGGTTGCCCTGGTTAAAACCTAAGCCCCTTCCCAAAAACGGAATAACCAATGGCGGTTTTGATTTGAATGCTTCTGCTGTAAGTGACGCGGTTGATGGCTCAAGTAATGTATATCCTCACAACGGTTTGAGGTCTTTTTCATGTTCTAATGATGCCAACTTGGGACGGGCTGAAGTGGCCAGTTCACTGAGTAATGGAAAGATTCTTGGATACCCTATCTCTCAGAAGCGTTCCATTTGGGAGGTGGACTCTTCTGTGTGTCTCACTGATCAACCCAAGAAAGCAAACACTATGGTGAAGAGAAACCTCGACATCAACTTGCCATGTGACGCTTCTGAAGATGTTGTTGTGGATAAGGAAGGAGGTAAAAGAGCTGCCACTAACAGGCACTACATTGACTTGAATTTATGTGCTACCGAGGATGAAAGTTCCGGCTTGTGTTCTAAACCAAGAATGGAAACAAGAGCAACTCCTTTAATAGATTTGGAAGCTCCCCCGACCCTTGAGAGCGAAGAAGAAGGGGAGAAAATGGTTGAGAAGAGAGATGTAACTGGAGAGACTTTTGATGAACTGATCAAGGGAGCAGCAGAAGCTATAGTCACCATCTCACTGTCTCATGATACTGATGAAGCTGCTTCCTCTACTAACGATGCAGTTGCTAAAGACCCACTCTCTTGGTTTGTCAACACAATAGCTTCTTGTGGCAATGATTTAGAAAAGAAGATTGATGCTTGTGAAGGCTGCCGTGAGGAATGTTCTTCAGGGGAGTTTGATTACTTCGAGGCAATGACTCTGAACTTGCCCCCAGCTAAAGAAGAAGATTACATGCCAACACGGTTAGTCCCTGAACATCTGAAATTTGATGGGACGGATTCTTTGGGCATCACAGCTAACAGGCCAAGAAGAGGACAAGCAAGACGAGGAAGACCAAGACGTGATTTCCAAAGGGATGTTCTCCCTGGACTTGCTTCTATGTCTAGGCTAGAAGTAACAGAAGATCTTCAAATGTTTGAGGGACTTATGAAAGCCACAGGCTACAGTTGGAACTCAGGAGTGGCCAGAAGAAGCTCAAACCGAGGTGGGTCTACCCGAGGAAGGAAACGACTGGTCAGCAACGTCAACAATGCTCCGGTTTGTTCTTCTTTGGAGCAGCCAATGGATAACAGTAATGTACAAATGGTGGGATTGGAAGATAGGAGCCTTACGGGATGGGGAAACGCAACCAGAAGACCAAGGAGACAAAGATGCCCTGCAGGTACTCCACCAACTGTGGTGTTAACATAAAAGCTTTCCATGAAATAAATGTGAATTTCACCATCTGAGGAACCATTATAGAGGGAGAAAAAAAAAACAGAGAAACTGATTCAGCATTGAAGAAAACAGACAGATATTTTATTATTCTCAATCATCCCCATGTTTGTGGGGGTATTGGTTGCCCTTTGTATATCTTGTAAGGGATAAAGTAAAAGAATTACATGATTGTGTTATATTAGAGTACTTGGTTGGTTATTACAAAATCTGTTTACCTGTTTCCTACATGGCTCTAACATGTCTTTCATTCATTAATCTGTAAACAATCTGCTTCAAGAGTTACATGTTGGAGATTCCCAAGACATCTATAGATTTCCTCTGTTCCTAAACAGGGTTCTTCACCAGCACCAAACTTGTAAACTTTTTGATCAATCTCGACCGAGCTGTACCCGGGAACTTTCTTAAGACTCAAACTCTTAATAGCCGATCTCATTCTCCTGAACTCTTCCCATTCGCCTTCTTCAGCATATATATTGGACAAGAGAGTGTAATATCCAGTGTCGTCGGTTGCAATATCAGAAAGATCTTTCTTTATGGCTTTGATTATATCCATTCTCTGATGGATTCTGCAACCGTTGACTAGAGAACCCCAAACGCTAGCATCAGCTAGGAATGGCATCTCCTTGATGGTTCTATATGCTTCTTTGAGATCACCAGAACGGCTCAAAAGGTCGATGAAACATGCGAAATGCTCCGAGTTTGGTGAGATGCCGAAGTTTTTCATCAAGTTAAAGTAGAGTTTACCTTCTTTAACTGAACCAGAGTGACCACAAGCAGAGAGAACGTTCATGAAAACAACTTCGTTAGGTTTAGTTCCTGATTCCACCATCTGGTTGAATGTAGATATGGCTGAGCCGATACATCCGTGCATCCCGTAGGCGTTGATCATACTACTCCACGACACAATGCTCCTATCTGACATGAACTTGAAAATAGTTTCAGCTGCGTTGAGATCTCCACATTTGGCATACATGTCAATTAGAGCTGTCTCAGTGAAAAGATCTTTTAAACCACAGAGAATGAGCTTATGGTGAACCCATTTCCCTTTCTCCAGTGAACCTATGCTTGAGCAAGCTTGGATAACCGCCAAGAATGTCACTTCATTCATCTCGAGACTGTTGTGATACATAGAGTCGAAGAGGTTAATCGCTTCTAAGGAGTTACCATTCTGAGAATATCCACAGAGCATTGAGTTCCATGTCACAACGCTCCTATCTTTGGTTTGATCAAACACCGCACATGCTGAATCCATAAGTCCGTTTTTAGAGTACATGTCTATCATCGAGTTCTGCACAAATTCGTCTGAAACATCCGTCCTTATAACATGTCCGTGAATCTGCTTCCCTAGCCTGACTAAACCATCATTCACGCATGATGAGATTGAACTTGCTAAAGTGAATGAGTCAGGTCTCATCCGCCGTGTCACCATCTGTCTAAACAAACACAATGCCTCAATCACCATACCTTTGTTTGCGTATAGAGATATAAGAGAGTTCCATGACACAATATTTCTATCACCAACCACATGTAGAACCGTCTCAGAGTCGCCTAGCCTCCCGCATTCAGCGTACAGCTCGACTAAGGCAGGAGAAAGAGACTCATAGTTCGGATCTATCTCTCTTCTAACTGCAAAACCATGGACAGACTTGCCTTCTTTAACCAACTTTAACAATCCACAAGAGCTCAAAACGCTATAAAGTGTAACCAAATTCGGCTCAACACCACTCTTCAACATCTCAGCGAAACTACTCAATGCCTTCTCAGAGAACCCACCACGATTGTAACTAGAGATAACAGCAGTCCACGAAACAGCGTTCTTATTAACAATCATCTTAAAGATTCTCTCCGCGCTAAGCAGGTCCCCACACTTACTATACATAGAAAGCAGAGAATTACATAACGTTTCATCAAAATCAAACATCTTCCTCGTTATCCAACCATGAACTAACCTAGCACTCCTCAAACATCCAATCTCACCACACCCTTCAACCACACTAATCATCGTCACAGCATCAGGCTCAACACCATCCTCAACCATACACTTAAACACCCTCAACGCCTCCACAACCTCACCATTCTCCAAACAGCTTGAAACAAGAGTACTCCAAGCCACAAGATCCTTAACAGACATTCCATCGAACACCTTCTCCGCATCACCTAACTTCCCACTCTGACCATACATACACATCAAAGACGTCTCTATCACATCATCATCATCCACACCGCTCTTCACAATCCTCCCGTGCACCTTCTCACCAACACCAAGACGCTCTCTCGAGCCAGCACAAGCCCTCAAAACAGATGGGAACACGAACTTGCTTATCTGCTTCTTGTCTGAAACCAACTTGTGGTAAAGATCAATGGCTGCGTCGTATAAGTGACACCAGACGTTGCATTTGATGAGGACGCCGTACATGAAGGAGTCAGGGTAAGGAAAAGATTCGAAGACGAGACGAGACGAGTCAGGAGAGCCCATGTGAGTGTAGGATTCGATGAGCTTTGTTACGGGAAGAGGGTCGTGACGGAGACGGCCGGTGACGAGGAGGTGAGAGTGGAGTTGGGTTAGTGTTCGTAGAGTAGAGCATGTTCTAAACAATGGCATGTACTGTGTCATCTTTACATTGACAGAAGAGAAAGAGAGGGAGACAAAAGAGAGATCTTTATAACTATCAACAAGATTCAGACATTAAAAGCTGAAGTCTTCAGACCAAACATGAAAGAATAAACAAAGAGAGATCTTTGACTATATAAATATGAACAAGATTCAGACATTAAAAGCTACGAGAGGGTTTTGTTTTGCTCCCGACATCAAACACAAATGGGTAAGCTTATGTCTTAAAATCAAACATGAAAGAATAAACAAATATTGCACAAAAAGACATACAATTGTCTGGATAAAGTAACTGTCTTTGTGATTTTTTTTTCACTCTTTGGGGAGGGATGGTTCATGGACGTTGATAGACGTATTTGGTTCTTGGGTCAACGATAAGACCTTTGCCTCCGTTGACTTCAAGATCATGCCTGCCAAGTTTTGACACAACACTCAGTAACTAGAGAACACTTTTAGGGGGTGAAGAGTAGAGTAAACTTAACTGGAAGACGAAGTCAGGAATTGTTAGCTGCTCACGAGGAACGTATTTGAATAGTTGCAGAAGCCGGTCTGCATATTCAACTTTCTTCCAGACCTTTATAGGAAAAAAAGAGGACAGTTATAAGAAAGATATTAACTCTTGGGGGGAAAAGGCTGGGACTTTGAGATAGTTTAGGAGTTTACCACATTGTCCACGAACATTTGCATTGCTAAGATTGTCGCCTTTAATTGTAAAGTTGGATGAAGAACATAGATTGCCTGGAGGAAATATAGATGATGAAGATTAGGACAAGGAGAAACCTTCCCCCACATGAAAGTTGAGTAGATGTAGTTTCAAACCTGAAGGTTACGCTTGTGTTTGCGACCAAGTATCTGTTGTAATCTTTTCATCCATCCCAAATCTGGTTGGCTGTTTATTTACATAGCAAATGTTATTGAAGCTTGTAAAGAATAAGGATATTTTCCCGACTAAACATACAGTCACAGACTAAGAATCAACTTACACTTGTAGAGATGCTGCAGAATGGAAATAGACAATCGAGTACGGCTTTTGTATCAAAGGTTCAAATTCCTGTAACCCAATTTGAGCATCGTCAGACACCATATAAAGTCAAAAACATCAATACCATCGGCGCAATGTGACTGGGTGCTTACCTTTACAACATAAAGCACAAAACGCTCCAGATCAAGACATCGCAGCAAAAAGTGAGCTCCTACAACAACCATTACAGGATGACCTTCGGTGTCAACACCACCACGGTACCTGAAGCAAGAAAACAGATATGGCTTTGTCAAAGTCTATGTAGTCATTAGCCCTCAAGGGCATAAGAACCGAACTTATGCAGGCAAAAGATGAAAGAGAAAGAGAGAATTCAAGAACTTAGAAGCCATACACAATTTTCATCTCTGCAATTTCTGAAAGGTTAAGAGAATTAGCTTTGGCTAGGTATCTCGAATGAAGTGAGTATTCCTCTGCAGCAGAGAGAGTGGGTCCCCCAAGATCACCAAACCCTAGTAATTTAACAAAATTGAATCCACTCTGTGCTTGTGCAGTCTTCTCCCATTGTTCTTTCCGCCTTTCATCTGGATCTTTAATCAAAGACATGAAGGTGGGGTCCAGATATGAATCAAGATGGTTTGAGTTCCTGAAAATCATATGTGTATCAATCAACAAAGTGCAAAGAGAGGGGACAGACAAATAAAGTGCAAAGAGTGAAGTAGTAAAAGTTCACCAACCTTCGTACCAAGGCAAGATCAGTGGATGAGCGCTGGACTAGAGCTGGAAAAGACCTGTCTAGAGGTTTATTTGGAAGTGCTTGTATTCTGATCTTACGTTCGTCTATAACCGTCTCACCATTTTCATCCCCAACATCAGCAGGGAGCTTTGAGATGGCAACCTCCTCCTCATGCTCATCACGAGGAAAGTAAAGTGGAAGTAATCTATATTTTAGAGAGTCAAGATTTTAACAATGGCTACAATGCTTATGCATTACATAGTTATAAACTATTATGGTATGTGAGACTTATATCTAATTAGAACCAATTACATGGTCTTTATGTGAATATTTCTCAAAGCAACGGTTAATAGTAACAGAGCATACCAACTGCTTCGAATATATCATACCTTTTGTATATCTCCGTATCAGAGGATGTGGTGGTACAGAAAACAACGGCACTGATTTTATCTTTATGCTTCTCTAGAAAGCGACGAACAGTTCCTGGAGCAGAAACACACGGTTTGGAAACAAGAAAGTCATTTACCGAAAGCCAAGAGACTGTTCAAGAAACTGTCTTACTTATGGCAACATGAGCAGCTGGTTCTCGGGGATAGTTCTTGGCTTCTGTGTATATACAGTCCGTAGCAATACTGTAATGTTGTGTGCAAACCAAAATCGAGTCTTAGGTACTAGAGAATCTGATTGTTGTAAGCAAAATAAGGATAAAAATATGGAAGTTCACTTCACACACACCTTTGAAGCCCATTGTCTATGAGGAGCTCTAGGCAAGATCTATAGCAGTGACTTAGAGCATTTTCAGCAGCTGTATGATACTTTACTGCATACTTGGGTCCTACTGTATGGATAACCCTCCTGACCAAAACCAAAAAAAAAAAAAACATTTCTTGAAGTTGCGGATTAAGAGATTGACAACCCGATTCTACAGCCAAGATACAAGTCACAGGGAATGTTTCATGTAAAAGGGATAAAGTGCCCGTAGTACAAATACAATAAGAAAAAATTGTATATAGACAACAATGGGACAGCTCTAACAAGGATACAGTGAATTTATCTTAAACAATTACCTCGCTGGTAAATCATAGGCATTTGTTACTTTGGCCATCCCTGTCCGGCATCCACCCTGACAAGCAAGAAAGAATAAGCCAAAAAATATCCTCTTTTGCTAACACCTATATAACTCTGATATAGGAATATAACGAAGGAAAGAGTTAGTACCAGTGTAGCACATTGTTCAGCAAGACCAGGTCCAGCAGCCGCATGTAGACCAGGACTACTATGTGCCTCATCCAAGTTCTGTCCTCCCAATTACAAGAAAATTCGAACTCATCAAACAAGACACATAAAGATTAATTCACTTAAATACCCACACAAGTAAAGGCTACCTCATTAGTAGAATTGACAACAGCATCAACCTCAAGGTTCCAAGGTTCCCCTCTCCAAAGGTAGATCCTGGAGTTAATCTCATGATCAACAGGAAACTTGGAAACCATCCCATTCCCGCTGCTTCCTGCTTCAGAAGAAGACGAAGCCAAAGGATTTGCGTATGGATCACCTGTTTCACCACCCTCGAGGGATGAAGTCCTCTGCTCAACATCACCCCATCTTGGAATCTGATCTAAAGTGACAACGTAATCACCACTCTCCGTCGGAATCCCACCACGAGGTGTTGTTGTGGCCGTGGGAACCGCTTGATACATCATTGCAGATCACCTTCTCCGCCTCCTTAAAGAGAGAGGTTTGCTTGATTAATAAGTTTTATTCACTGCAAAATGAGACAATCAAACAAAAAAACAGAGTAACAAAAAAGATCATTTACATATAAACTTGAAATTAAGTCAGCAAGTATCATAGATTCCAATGCCCGATTAACACATACATTAACGAAAATCATCGAAACTAGATAAGGATCATAAAACTACAAAGTCACAATTGAAACTATCATCAAGTGTTATAATAAAACAACATCACAAGAAAAAAAAGATACAAACTTTAGATGAGGGGAGGAGAATTCTAATCGAAATCATTGAACTTTCTTACAAAAATCGTCAGAAAATTAAAAAAAAAAAAGAAACGGAGAGGTGGTATGGACTTTTTACCTGAAAGTTTGATCACAAAAACGAATCGAAGAGAAACCTAATCCGAAGTTTCTACTTCATTTCATGTGGAGAGGAAGGGGAAGGTAACGAAAGAGAACATTATGCTACAGGCTGTGATCCATCGATGATGATGAGGTTGCGAAAACATCAACCAAGAGCCTCTCTCTTACGACATATTATAAATTCCAAAAAAAAAAAAAAAACATTTATACGCATTTTGAGTTGTCGTTTACAAGAATATACCTCATTCTGAAACCCTCTCCATTGTTCAGAAGGTATTGCCAATTCAGAACCGGTTATTGCAGAACTGAAGTATTTATTAATTTAGCCGTCACGGTGGTGACACCGAAGCCTGTCAATGGCACGTGCAAATATGTCAACATTTATAGGATTAGTTGCGAAACGGTACCGTTCTTTACCTTCTTTTGTGTGTTTGTAATAAAACTAAAAAATTTATAAGAAAAAAGAAAAACATCACGGCGGAACAACGAAGCAGAGAAAGAGAGAGAGAAAGAGACAGGCTCTGCTTCTTCTTCCTCTTCGTCTCGATCTCCGCTTCGATGAATCATCGGCTACATCTGAATTTGAAGATTTAACGGTAAAGCTCAAAATTCCATTTTTCATATCTGTGTTGGAACCTAAATATCCGATTTAACCTAAATATTGCTCTGTTGATCTAATTGCTTTCATCTAAATACATGTTTTGTTTTGATTTGGATTTGGATTTGGATTTACTCTGCATTCTACATTCCTTTCAATTACAAAATATCACGTTCATGTCCCCCAATAACGTTTAAATTTATAACCTTTTTCTTTCAAATTTTGTTCACCTGTTTGTTTGAGATTTATAGATTATTCCATTTTAATCTTTAAAAAAAGCTCATCTTTTTCATGATGAATTATCTTTTCATTCAGCAGGTTCTTGAAATGATGACTGATCCTCAAAGATTCTCTTTTACCGGGTAACATTGGCCACATTACCCTCCAAAAGATTCCAACTTTGACAATAAAAAAAAAGATGTGGAGCTTTGCCTCAAATCTCATTGGCAACATAGGTCTAAAGAAAGACCACCCACCTCAACAACCCTCTTCAGATTCCTCAGACGACGACGACGAGGTCTCAAACGTTAGCAGAGACGACGAAGAAGGACAAGGACTAGACTGTCCCATTTGCTTTGAATCATTCAACATCGTAGAGAACGTTCCTTATGTCTTATGGTGTGGTCACACTCTTTGCCAGAACTGTGTCTTTGCTCTCCAACCTGCTGTCTTAAAACTCTCAAGTCAAGATATCAAGATCCCTTTCTTTGTCTCTTGCCCTTGGTGTCAGTTGTTTTCCTTCAGGATTGTTTACAATGGTATCCTCAAGTTCCCTCGTAAAAACTTCTTCCTTCTTTGGATGGTTGAGTCTCTCAACGGTGATAGGACTAGACACGGTGGTGGTGGCACTGGTGATAACCACCATTACTGCAACAGCAATATGATTGCAAGGCCTGGTTTTGTTATGCGTAGTAATAACCAGTCTCCAGAGCCTTTGCCTCAACCAAGCAGCAGACAGCAGTTCTCATTTCACAAGTCTCTTGATTTCTTCATCTCCTTCACCTCCAAGTTTCCTTTTGTGATCGTTTTTCTACTGATTGTGTTCTTTGCTATACCTGGAAGCCTCATCATTCTTGCTCTTTACTTCCTCCTCACGATTCTTCTAGCGATTCCTTCTGGTTTGGTGCTGTATTTTGCGTACCCTGTTCTGGAAAGGTTGGTTAATGAAATAACGGCATGAGAATGATACTTGAGCTCACACCTTGCTCCAGCCCGTTCTCTGTGGTGTAATGCAAGCTTTTTTGGAGTATTTGAAACCTTTTTTAGATATTGTTATTGATTGCAAGCTTGGCAAATTGTAATTGTGATTTTTTGAGTTTTAATTCTGTTATATGCAACTTTCTGAAGTTTTGGTTTGCAGATTTGTGACTCTGTTGATGATTAATCATTTGTGTTAATGTCTCTAAAACTCTATAAATAAACATCTTGATTGTGTCTTCATTTTACATGTTAAGAAAGAATGTTTGGTTTTGCAACTTGATGAATTCAGAGGCATGTAGATGGACTACGTCCAGTTATTCTCATGAAGTTTGCTTTCTCCTTAACCTTTAATTCTTCCTTCATCTGACTCTCATAAGCATGTGTTCTTGCACTCGCAACTATGCTCTCAATGCGTTCGTTATCTTCAGTATATCTCTGCATCGCCTTCAACTTTGTCTTCTCTACACCTCTCTGTACATTCATCGCATTGATTAGTCTTGTAATTATGCAAGAATCAAGTTTTGGAAACCTGGAAAGTTTAAAAAAAGGAAGAGGCACCTCTGTTCTATGAAGCTTTCTCTTAGCGTTTTTCGTTCTTTTGTCTTCCCATAACGTTATCTTCAACATTAGCTTCTCATACCTGCAAATTTCCAACCCATTAAGGCTCTTAGCTGCCTTATAATCAATATTTGAACATTATGACGAATAAAGAACACAGAACACACACTTCGTTTTCGCTTTGCCCATCTCTGTTTCCTTCCATAGTTCCACTGCAGGTCCCATAGGCACAGGTTCTGCTCCCAGCTCCCTGGTTTCATTCACAACACAAGAGCTTGTTCAGAATCGAATCTTGACGTTTTTGGGTATCAAGTAGAATTTTTACCTTGGAGAACTTGTATAAATCAGAGCACGACTATAGAAAGATACTTATATTAGATGGTGACTGCAGTTTGACACAAGGAATGTGTAGTTTGCTAAATGCTGTTTAAGCAATACCTTTCCCTATACTCAAGCCAGACAACTAAGGTGTCACAAGGGGTTTTTAAAAACAATTCCCTGTTAGGAAGTCACCTTAACAGATTCCTTGTCCAACAAGAGAAGGTCGCTCTTATGTAACCCCTTTCTCTTTCTTACTAAGCTTCTGAGAATTGCTAAAGCATTTCCTGTTGATTTATGGGATTTTCCTACTTAACAAAAAAGTCAGTAACACTACTTTTTTGCTTCCATTAGCTCAGAATACAGAAAATGAGTGAAATCAATCGAGTATTTTGTATAATAGGATTTAGATTATTGCTTATTGTGACTGTTGATGGTAACAAAACCTTCCTACATTTGGTAGATTTGTATCATATATTCCCATACTCTGGGACACATTTTATACAATATCCACTTTATAATTCATTTTTCATCTTGACCCTACTTTGTAAATATTTAACAAACTACTTTTCCTTTCATCTTGAACCTTAAAACAATAAACGATGAATATATATCTCTATATATCTCCATCTATGCAGTATTCATAAAATATATCATACACTGTATCATTTTCTATGTTTTTGCTTTACATCTATCTTGCTACATTTCATAAAGCCCAACTATCCGATTGAGAAGGCCCATAAATATCATTTTAAGTCTATACAAAGCAATAGAGAGATATAATTACAGCCTCCCAAAATTAATGGAACTCATGTGTTTCTCTTGATCACCAACCTCCTGTCTCAATCACACTAATGTATGGATGCAGTAATAACTAGGAAGTAAAAGAGCAAGCAATATTCATGAAAAATAAACTATTTCCAAGCTTGTTTCTGCCCTAATATTCCTGATAAAGGCCCAAAAAAACAAGCAAGGAAATAGCAAAGCATAGTTTTTTTTCTCATAACGTAGTAATAAGTAGTGCGCAAATAGAAAACAACCATCAAGAAAAGTAGTTAAAAGAAACAAGATTTACAAAGAAATCTCGATGTGGAACCCTAGCTACTAGGTCTTTTCTTTCATCCCAAGAAACCACGTTTCTTCTCTATACGAACCAAAACGTGTGTTCAGTTGTGAAGTGGGTTTGGACCGGAAGGGACGAGTCTTTTGTCGACGCCGTATCTTTCGTCAATCTCCGGTAGAGAAGGAGGCGGAGGAGGAGAGAAAAGAGGTTGTCGACTGCTTCTGTGGATTCTTTCGAGCTCAATGCACATTGAGCGTGCGTAGGGACGAGAGAAAGATTCACATGAACGGTGAGGGTAAGAGTAGTACGCGTGTTGAAACCTCTGGTTGACTCCGTGGGTTCGGTTAGTCCAGTTTCTTGCTGCTGTTGCGGTTGAAAGAAGGAAGAAAACGATGAGGAAACGGTTCATACTCTGGTTAGTCGGCATTGTTGCCGGTAAAGAGAGAGATAGAGAGAGATCTCTGAGATTCTTGGAGAAAGAAAGTTGAGTGATCGAGAGAGAGAGATGGAGGGGTGGAGATATTGGTGAATTGCGAAGTGAGAGTTTAATGCTGCATCAGAGGATATGTATGATTATGATAAAATGTGAGGTAAAATAAGAGGGTAAGTGTTGAAATGATGGTCGTTTATATTGGTTATTTACATTTTTCGCATAACCATAAATGTGAATCCGTGACATTGTACATTCCGAACCATAAATCTCACTTTCTCCTATGTTTTGGATTACTGCTTTATACCCAAAAGGCAAGGAAAATAAACAAGAAGGCTATAATGGGCTGTTTCGTGGATCTCAAGTTATCTTTATTGTCGCCTAAAATCTCTCCCTTTGCTTTGTTTGGCATGCTGCAAATTGTGTGTAGGCTACGGAGCTAATATCAAATAGATCAACTTATCAAAATACACCATTGAGAAGGAAAAAGAAAATGAAACCAGAGTGATCTTGGATCCTGGAAAATGATCTCATGTTGTTTGGGCTTTCATCTGAGCCTTTTGGACCTATAATTATTAGTATGGCCTATTTTTGATATACATAGATTCGGCCGCAAGTGTATACATGTACATTTTTTCGTTACAAAAGGTTAGTTCGTGGTTCATTGGACGTTAGCAAAAGGTTGGTACAAAAGGTTATTACTTAATTTAGTCGTGAGAGTGCGTGTCATTTTCGAGAAGATAACAAACGTGGTCGTATCAGAATCATGGATTCGCAATCTCTCTTTCTTTTATACTATTTCATATTTGTAATTATGACTCCCGATTTTTGAAAACAAGGACTTTTTATTTTTATCATGTTAAAAGTGACGATGATTATATATCTACATGTTTGTTTATTAAGAGAAAGTTTTAACTGCGGTATATTCCATGAAAATACTATAATCGAATTCCAAGTTCAAGGTGAATCGCTCCTAACTGGTGATATACCACTTGACTTATTGTAACTTTATGACTGGATCTCGCACCATGCAAGGAGCCCCCACTTTTGTCGATGCAAACTGATCTGATTAATTAATACTAATGCATAGTCATCTATATAGTAGTTTAATTCTATAGATGATTAATTTTAGTTGTATTATATATTTATTAGTAAATACATGTGCATTATATTTCTATCCGTTCTGTTTTGGAAGGTAAGACTGCTAAACGTACAGACGTGAAATACAAACATGACTGATCGCTACTTTAGTGTTGTTAGTTATAGAATAATGCTTATCTTTGATGTTGTAGCGCGTTCATGCTTGTGTTTAAATATGTGAAAAATTTTACGAGCCAGAGAGAAAATGCCTAATATATGTGAGCGATCAACCGTTTGCGTTTCAAAATCAATATAGATGATTGCATACTCTACTGTTCATGTTTCTATTGACAACAGGATTCGCACTCATTATTGATACTTTTTATTCATATATAATTCATTGTTTGTGTTAATTACCGAGGATATGTAATCGAATAACTACATAAAAGGGGCCTACGAGACTATAGATGAATTGTGGAAATACAGGTAGGTATCACTCTTGCGTGTACGCACAACTGATTCTTCACGTATTATATGCTATCGCGTTCTTATAGCACCGAGAGGGATAGACCAGACCCCATAAATGGTAAAGAAAAATATTGTTATTTGATTGTCTATGTATGCTACACTTAATTCTGTAACTATTTCCAGACGAAGCAATGCATATCTGTCCAAAGAAAATGTACTATATGGACAAGGTTAATTGTATCTTTTTAAGATATAGACACACACTGTAATAAAACTCTCTATATAGATACATCTCTATAACTTAATAATGTCATAATTATAATATTTTATTGATTTATCAAAAATTTATATATCTATTAATAATAACAATCCTCATTAATTCCAAAGGTTGCGAATTTCTACTAAAGTGAAAGGTTGTATTTTTAAAATTTGTGAATTCCCCATGATATAAAAATGCTATTTTAAAATAACTACCAATAATAAAAAATCATGACTATTCATATATATAATTTTAAGAATCTATAAATAGTCCATGTCAGTGAGTTTTATTGTTACAATCCTCATTAATTTCAAAGGTTTTGAATCTCCATTAATTTGATAGTTTTTTTAAAACATTTAAATTTTAAATTTACATTGAAACAATGTGTCTTTTGAAGAATTAGTTTTTCTTTTACCAACGGTTGCGAATCCTCCTTAAATTTAAAGGCTGCGTTTTTTGAAACAATGTGTATTGTCATTAATTAGTTAATTTGAAAGAGTGTGTTTATTTTTTGTAAGGATGTCTATTCAAGAAATATATATATATATTTTAAAATGATGTATTTGTAGAAAGTTGTGACTTTTCATGATAAAAACTGACTAAATTGAAAAGTTAGAACTTTTGAAAGACCTCATTAATTCTAAAGGTTGTGAATATTAAAGTAAAAGGTTGGATTTTATTTTAAATTTTGTAAATTAATCTTCATTAATTCCAAAGGTTGTGAATTCCCCCATGATGTAAAGATGCTATTTTAAAATAACTACCGATAATAAAAAATCATGACTATTCATATATATAATTTTAAGAATCTATAAATAGTCCATGTCAGTGAGTTTTATTTTTACAATCCTCATTAATTTCAAAGGTTTTGAATCTCCATTAATTTGATAGTTTTTTAAAAACATTTAAATTTTAAATTTACATTGAAACAATGTGTCTTTTGAAGAATTAGTTTTTTTTACTAACGGTTGCGAATCCTCCTTAAATTTAAAGGTTCGTTTTTGAAACAATGTGTATTGCCATTAATTAGTTAATTTGAAGAATGTGTTTATTTTTTGTAAGGATGTGTCTATTCAAGAAATATATATATTTTAAAATGATGTATTTGTAGAAAGTTGTGACTTTTCATGATAAAAACTGACTAAATTGAAAAGTTGTAACTTTTGAAAGAATTTTTTGAGTCTCTCTCTCTATATATATATTGTATATGTCTACAAATTCTTGGAACATATATTTTACAATCTTAAGAAAATGGTGAAGAAAAAAGATTGTGTAGTTACCTAAATGCAAATTATTAGAAGTTATTCAAAGGAAACGTTGTCAACAAACAATTTTAGGAAGGATCATTCGTGTTTGGATAATCAAAAATCATAAACAGTTAGTAACAACAATCATTATTAATTCTAAAGGTTGTGAATCTCCATTAAGATGAAAGATTGTGTTTTATTTTAAATTTTGTAAAGTAATCTTCATTAAGTCCAAAAAATTGTGAATTTTCACTAAAATGAAAGGTTGTGTTTTTAAAAGTTGTGAATTCCCATGGTGTAGAGATGCTATTTTAAATTTAAGAATCTATAAATTCCCAGTGTCGATCAGTTATTCTATATAACTTTAAGAATCTATAAATATATAGTCCATGTCAATAAGTTTTATTGTAATTTTTTTCACAGTATAAAAAATGTGAAGAAGAGAGTTATCTGGTTTCGGCAAACGATTAGAATTTTATTAATATCAATCGACCATGGTGGCTTTAAAACATGGTTTAAAACTAAAAGCTGTGCCTTTTCAGATAATTTTGCCAGAAGAAGAAAACCACTGTGCGTTGTAAAAAGCAACGGACAAACGCTAGGAATTGACAGTTGACGAATTGAGAAAACAAATGTCAATACCAGAACAAAACTCTTTCACATAGACATATAACACCCCGAACCCATATGAGACACATGTTTTTTTTTAATGAGATCATGATGGACATATAAGAAACAGCCATGACTGATAACGCCACCGTTATCTGTTACAATGGGAAGACTGAAGCACTTTACGGAATGGACGTGAGTATTATCACCAAATTAATGAATTTAATAATGCTATGATTATGGAACTAATTGTAAGAAGGAATTTAGAATAAAAATGAAAGGGTGTGAGAAATGAATGCAAAGACAATTTCAATCACAAGACTTTTCACTGATTTGTTGTGAGGATCAAGAGATACAAACGTGAATAAACAAAAAAAAAACGAGAAACGAAAAATGCAGTGACCGGAAAATTCAGGGAGAAAGGGTCATCTTTAAATTAAATATTGCCAAACAAAGAATTGTAGGAAGGTCATCTTTAAATTCAAACAAATGTTATAGATTGTGTCTTTTCATCTTTAAATTGTGTTTTTGCATCTTAAAAGTTGCAGATTCTCTCTTATTTTTAAAAGAGGATTATTAGGAATTTTAAGTGAATCTTTGCAATCCTTCAAGTGAATCATTACAAGTGTTTGGTGAAACAGTTACAACTTTTGAAATGAAAAATGTAACTGTTGGTGGTTATAATTTTTAGTGATGCATTATTGTAATTGTTGGTGATTAATATTATAGTTCTTTTGGTAATAAATCATTGCAACTTTTGGTGTTAACCAACTTTCAATCTTCTTTATAAAGAATTGTGTGCATTGACAAATCACAACAATCACAAATAGATTAAAAAAAAAAAACATTATTCCTCAAAAGACATGATATGTTTTTATGGGTCTTATTCATTTAAAATATTTTGTTGATATGTGTTTGGTCATTTTCTCGCTTCTATTTATATTATACATTATTAAATATATGAAGAGGTTATGAATATGTTTTTTTTCTTTTCTGATACATAAACTTCTTTGAAAAAAATGAGATACTTTAATTTATATAAAATTATAAATGATACAAAGTGGCAATTAGTGAGTTCCCAATAATAACTTAAAATATGCATAAAATTTTGAATGTATTTTTAATGTGTGTGCCTTTACGAATTGGTCTTATTCTTTTAGTTGTAGTGTATTTCTCATGTAACAATTGAATAGTTTATGAGTATTTATTTTCATAATTATCAAATGTATCACTATTTAACCAAATTTTATTTTATTTTATTTTACATGCAAAAGATGCATTTGTTTATTCAAAGTTTTTTCTGTTAAAAATATGCATCCTTTAAGAATACTAAAAGAGTTGTAAAAGCATATCCTTTCAAACATTTAATAGTTTGAAATTTAAATTTTATTTCAGATAACAAATATTTTTTTCTATGGCTGTATCTCTGCTTTTTGATGAAATAAATTGAAATGTGTTTTTACTCATTGATAAAGACATATTTTAAAAATATTAAATAGATTTTTCATTTATAAAATGTTATAAAATTATAAAAAAATGAAAGATGATGGAGTTATGTTTAAACAATAATATTTACTGTTTAGCCTTTTGGAAATAATACTAATGGAAGTTAATATATGTTGATTGTATAATATTTGATATAAAATAACTTGGAAATAAATATTTAAATATTTTGAAGACTGAAACATAATTGAATATACTTTAAGACCGAAATAGGTTGAATAGTTTTTGATACAGTTATAAAGTTTTATATTGTAATATGTGATTATTTACTTTTATAAAATGAGTTCCGTGCGACATCGCACGGGTTCCTTACCTAGTCTAATACTCCCTCCGTTCCTAAAAGATCCATGTTCTGGAAAAATATTTTGTTTCAAAAAGATGTATATTCTATGTTTTCTATGAGAAAATTACAAGTTTCAAAAAAATTAATTGGTTTTATTAGATTACTATTGGTTAAAAGTTGTTGAAAATTGAAAATTATTGAAAACGATAGTGATTTAATGTGTTTTCTTAATATGTGTGAAAACACTAGAAAGTCTATCTTTTAGGAACAGAGGGAGTATAAAACAAGAAGAATAATTGTTTTCATGGTTTATATATTGATTACATTTGAAGGATCGCAGTTATGGGACTAGAATAATAATAGTACATGTTTGTTTATGAGATAATTAAATTAATCATGAGGATCGAGAAGTTACACGTGGTTGGTTAACTGTTTGTGATTACATTCGTTCGATTCTTGTCATATCCAACACGGACAACTAGCACCAGGAATCGACGTTACTTAATTAACTAAATTTCCAATAAGAAATTAAAGGATATACACTTATTAGTTTTTAATTATGCTTCTTTTTCTCATGAAAAAAAAATCAAATTATGTTTTCTCTAATTATGCAAGTTATCAAAGGCGTGAATGTGATGAAGCTGTAGGTCCGGAGGAGTCTTGATGGCTGGCAACTTAGCAGCCACAACAATGAGAGTTATGAGACTCCAGTTTTTGGCACAGTGCGATCCTAGGCAAAGAGAGTCATTTTGTTATTCAAGATTAATACTAGTTATAGAATTCTTACTTTTTGTTGTGTTTTCCTTTTGAATTTTGGTGTTGTTTAGTTGTTTTTATTTTTTTCTATATTTTCTGTCAAAAACTCTAAAATGATATAAAATTTAGCATTTATACAAAATATAAAAAAATAAAAAGTTTCATCTTTTATTATTCTTCGGAAAGAGGTAAGTAACAAGGAGTAAATGCGAATTCGACTCCTAGAACAGGCGTCGATGTAGGAGGGAAAAGTAGATTTGGGGCCTACTTCCCCCTTAATTCTACCATTCCGTTCCGTTCATTTCACTGGACCCATTTGACGTTGACGTTCGATTTTTTCTTCACTCCTCTCTCTCTCACATGAATTATTATTAATTTTAGGTCTCCCAATATCTCTTTTTTAAAATCTTTCTAGAGAGAAAAAGACAGAGAGTCTGATCGGTGTTTGACGAGACACTACACTTTAAACAATGCTTCTACAAATTTCAACTCTTTTCTTTCTCTCTCTCTTCTATAATCTCAAACAAACCCTAGCTTTCTCTCTCTTCCTCCCACCCCTCTCTCCACCTCTCTTATCATCTCTCAAGAGACTTTTTTTTTTTTTTGGTCATGAACGATCCTGAAGATTCCGATCTGAGCAAGGACGATTCCACTTGGAGACAACTAACAGCTTCTGATTCTGTCTTTTTCGACAGAGACACTTCCAGTATCCTCTCTGACTTTGGCTGGAACCTCCACGCTTCTTCTTCTGACCATCATCACAATCTCCGGTTCGATCCCGGTTTAACACCTTCTCCCGTCACCACCACCGCAACGCCTGAACCGCTTCCAGCTTCCGCATGTTCCTCAACCGTCGCTGCTTCTTCGGTTGTCGTTAGAGAGGTTTCAACCTCTAATAATCCTTCAGCTACCTCCAGTTCAAGCGAGGATCCGACAGAGAACTCAACCGCGAAAACACCGGAGACACCGTTAGTTTTTTTTCTTTTCTTTTTTTTTTTAACCATAAGTGATGAGACAAGAAACACGTGTGTCCTTTTTTGCAGGGGTCCGATCGTAATTTGCTTTGATAGTGGTTGTGGGGAGGGTTTTTGAACTTGGGGCCAAAACTTTAAACGAATAAATATCTATATATTCTCTAAACGTTTTTTTCGCATCGAAAATGGAAATGGAGAATCGATTCTTTCGTACAAATAATTTAGCAGAGAATAGTGTGAATTTAGTAATTTTATGATTCATTGAATCGTCGGTGACAGTTTTAGAGACGGAATAAATATAATGATGATGAACACTACCAGAGCCGATATTGCGGCTGTGTGATATTTAGCGTGCACTCTACATCTCCTTTTTGCCTCCTCCTCGTCCTTTCTTTTATTAAACTATTGTTAGGTCAAAAGTCTCCCACGTTTTTAATCATGATATCTATTTAGTACAGCAAAATGTTAAAAAATAAACCCTGAATTATAATTATTTAAACTTCTTCTTGTCTCGCAAACTGTAACATGTCGTAAGCTAATTGTTATTAAGGGTTTAGGACTCCACGATCCATGAAAATGAGTGCAGCTAAGTATGATTTTACATCGTTAGTGGCAATGTAAAATGTTCATAAACTCAAGTATCGATCGGTTTGTTTGGCTTGATTTGACTAGTTACTCTCTGTCATTTTTGATGCATGGTCATATAGTAAATAATCTTTTTTCATGTTTTCATTTGTAGAAAGAAGGAGAAGAAGCAGGTTCAGAAGCGGATCCGGCAACAAAGATTCGCATTCATGACCAAGAGTGATGTAGATAATCTTGAAGATGGATATCGATGGCGTAAGTATGGACAGAAAGCTGTCAAAAATAGCCCATTTCCAAGGTCTCCTAGCTAGCTATCATCCCTTTCTTCTCAATTATCTTAAATTACATATTAACATGGTACATCACACTTACACCAGTAGATACCAAACAGCATTTACTAATGTTTGTTGTATATATAGGAGCTACTATAGATGCACCAACAGCAGATGCACGGTGAAGAAGAGAGTGGAAAGATCATCTGAAGATCCATCGATAGTGATCACAACATACGAAGGACAACATTGTCACCAAACTATTGGATTCCCTCGTGGCGGAATCCTCAGTGCTCATGACCCTCATAATTTCACATCATATCATCATCATCTCCCTCCTCCATTGCCAAACCCTTATTACCATCAAGACCTCATTCATCAACTTCATAGAGAAAATTCTTCTTCACCGCATTTACCCTCATCTACTACTGAAGATGGACATGCTGCAGAGTCGTCTATTAATCCATCAGAAAAAGGCTTACTTGGTGATATTGTTCCTCAAACCATGCGCAATCCTTGAGGTAAAGCTCCTATATAAATTTGTATTTGTTAGTGTTTGTTTATATATATAAGGTTAGAAGTGAATTCTATAAAAAAAAATAGAACATTAATTTATATATTTTGGTCCGCAAGGGTTTATTACTTTAAATGGACCACATAATACATATGCGTAAAGGGTTAAATTTTACTAGTCCGAAATTCAAAACCCAAATCAAAGAGATATCTTAAGTTGGAGAAAATTCAGAAGATGTAGTTGTACTTGATGATGAGAATCAATATCGTGTTTTCTAATCATTAATTCAACCCACCATATATCTATCTCGTGGAACAATTTAGATCACTTGATAGATATGTCGGCCAGTGCTTTTTAATTATTCATTTTTGCAGAACGCATAAACAAAAGCTGGATAATGCATATATGAATAGTGGATGATTGCCTCTCGCTCTATCTATATCTATATATTATTATTAACTAGTGACTGCATTAGAATCAATCACTGGTGTATAGTAGTGCCTTCTTACTTCCCTTGCTATAAGGCATATATAGGCTTACTGAGATGAGACCCGAATTGGGTCGGCAAGATTATAGAAATGTCAACAAATATTAATAAAGAATCTCAACTACTCCACTCAGTGTCACTCTGATGCTGGATCTCCCCTTTTACGTTAATATATAAACCTTAATTTTCTGTGTATTTACTTTTAACTCAACTGCATGTGCATGACTATGTGTCCTGGTGCATCAACTTGTATTATATGTACGTGTACATAAGATGCATATGCATGAGGTGTATATATATTGTATAAGTTCTGAGGGTGATGTGTTAGGTCACAGGAATAAATGCTTTCTGTTTTAGGTAAAGACAGCCAAGAAAGGAAAAAAGGGGACAAAACTGAATATGAAGAAATATATGAGCATAAACCCTTAATTTATCGTACAATATTGACTTGGAACATCTGTTATACTAATCACATGACCAAAATATACACGTACCATTCACATCAGCAGAAACTTAATATAGATCTATAATATCAGTATATAGGGATGTGCTTATATGCTATATTTTTCAAAGATAAAATGACATATGCATGTCTACTTGTATGATATATTCTCCAAGTAGGTGCCATTACAGCAAATCATCATAATCTTGGTGACAATAGCTAAGGACGTGCATTCCAGAAGATATTGCAGACCGGAAAATTATATGGCCGCAATGGGGTGTAAGAAGATATCTCTACATATTATTTCATTGTTGATCAATGGTGTTTCATCACCGGAGGGATTGCAAATTCTTAAGGTATATATGTATAGTATAATTTTGATATAACTTAACTTAAATATATCTGGTGACTTATGTGGATCTATCCCACATGTAGATGCATGTATTGGGGAAAAACGTGGAGCAAGCTCCGGATACTTTCTATTTGCTAATCTTTTTTTTCTTGTCTGAGTGTTATAATTACTTTAGATTTTTATCTTTAAATAACTTTAGGTTGATATAATGATATTT